GTTTTTGATTGTTGATTCAATCTCCTTACCAGTAATAAGTCAGTTCAGATCTATTTTTTTCATAATCCAGTCATGGAAGGTTGTATTTTTCTAAGAATTTATCCATTTTTACTATGTTTTCTAATTTATTGACATATAATTATTTGTAAGAGGGATAAAGGATTATATTTTATTATTTTTACAGGGTTCCTTGTATCAAAAGTTTAGTATTATGGGAATGGTGACTTGATAAAATGAGTTAAGAAGTGGAAGTAGTTCTCTTTATTCTTTTTTTAATAAAAATATTCATGTAAGGTTTATATTATTTACTCTTTAAATATGTTTAAAATTTCCCATACTATTCTTGCCCCCCTATCTATTTTCTACCTACTGTCTATGCTACTTATTTTCTGTACCTTTTCCCCCTTTCTCCTCCTCCCACTCCCCTATTGCTAACCCTCCATGAGATATTCATTTCTGTGTTTCCGCTCCTGATCCAATTGACCTTTTAGTTTGCTTTTGTTTTAGGTGTGGTTGTTAATAACTGTGAGTTTGCTGTCCTTTCACTGTTCATCTTTTTTATCTTTTTTTTCTTAGATAAGTCCCTTTAACATTTCATATAATAAGGGCTTGGTGATGATGAACTCCTTGAATTTGATCTTATCTGAGAAGCACTTTATCTGTGGGAATTGTGGTGGCGGGGGTACAGGGTGGAGGGGAATGAAGGGGGGAATAGAACAACTGTAATGGCATAATCAATAAAATTTAAAAATATATGTTTAAAATAACTTTCCAGTAAATATAGCTGGGTCTAGAATTTTCATTGTAAGTTGTCTTTTGGCCATGAATTCAACTTCTTTTGTCTTTTAATGATTAATTCAACTTCTTTACCAGTTTAAGGCCATCAAGATTTTCTATTTCTTCTTGTGATAATTCTAGCAATTTGAATTTTTACCTAAAGTGGCACAAGATGGTAGGTAGCATAACAATTTTTGAATAAAGTGCTGTTTTAAACAAAAGTCAGTTTTTAAATTTATATCTAAAACATAGAATGAAAATTTAAACACAGGTTATCCTTTGTTTTTTAAAACCCTTCATGTTTATATTTATTCTTTATGTGATAATACTAAATACCTCAAATGGATGCAAGACATTGTTAATGTAGGATACTGTACCTCTTTGTCATGACTCACCTCAGTAATAAATATCATTGAGAATAAGTCCAAATCATGGTTCTTCTGCTCTGTGCTCCTGGTTCTATAAACATTTCATGTGAAGGCAAGTGTAAAGTATTTCTCCCTCTACATAATGTATTTTTTCTTCCAAACTTTCCATTTTATCCATAGAATTTATTTTCTCTCTCCGCCTTCCCCCCACTTTCTGTGTAGTAGGGGGTGTTGTAATTTCTCTTTCTCTGGTTGAACTACTTATGGGGAATTTATAAAATAATTTACTATATTTCTTAAGTATTCATTAAGTGGGAAGATGGCATTTAAAATAATATTAAAAGGTCAAAATAAAATGTTCAAGTATTCTTCATATTTCTGATGTATGGCATGGACACTCAGAAGCCTTATTGCACCCTAATATTTCCTTTGAGTTTGTATTTATTTGGCTGCTTAACATCTGTAAATTATCTGTAAATTTATTTGGCTGCTTAACATCTGTAAATCTAAGTTATTACACAGACCTGCTTTACTTTTGATTAGCACGGAACACATCCCAGGGCACTTAACCAGAGCCCGACACTTCATAATGCAGTCTCTAAAAGGTTGGGGGGGGGGCGGTAAGCATTTTTTTCCTTGGTAGAAATAATTGTCTTCTGCTCTTTTTTAAAAAATTACTTAAGAAAGGGTTATCTATATAGTTCCAGGCAAACATAAAAATACTTAATACTATATTCAGGAAGAGAATCTTTAAACATACCTAACTTTATTGCTTCTTAGTAACAATTTGGCTAATTTATTTGCATGTCTGTGATGTTTGATAAAAACTATGTTGAAAGATATGACATTTTATTTTCTTTACAACTCATGTAAGCAATTTATTTTTTGTTTGTAAACTTTGTGGCAAGAGTAATTTATGTAACTAATAATTGAGATTGGGTGGTAGTATTTTAATAAAAATATTTTGACTTTTTATAGTTAATTTTGCTTTCAACTTAGAGGACAGGTTGACCACATTTATAATTGTGAAATATAAATCTAACAATGTTGTGGTGCACCAGAAAATAAGATATAGGAAAATGCTTGTAATTAAACAATATATTCCTAAGTGTTAAAAATCGACAAAATTAGATAAAACATCACAGGTGTAAATGAATAAATAATAGTTTGAAAATATTAAAGTAGCTGTTTCTACTTACCCACTAATTGTAACTTTTTAAATAAATTTAAAGTAATATTAAATGGTTAAATTTAAATGTAATGAACAATAACTATATTTTCTTTTACTAATCCTATGGCAATTCTGCACATATTCGAAATTTGCAACTTTCCCACGTTGGACAATTATCTCTCACTGGCTCATTTTTATAACACTTAAAAATGTGAAGCAGTCAAAGTGAGAATGTTCTAGAAAATATAAAGATGTTCAATGAAGTGAACAGTCTCCTTCGCTCTTCTTTTCATCAGTATTATTATGCTTCTTTCTGCCTCTTTCGACCTCCATTTTTGGATTTTTGTATTAATTGTAAATTTTATTGTTTTTTCTATATGGTTTTAAAGGAAGTTTAAAATTTATACTAAGTATGCTTTAATATTTTTGTACGAAAGGACTTAACTTAGATCACAAATAATATTTTTCTTAGTGTAACAAATACAAATTTAATGTCTCCTTGGTTAATGTGAAATAGTCAATGTTTCATACCAATTTCCTTAACTACTGCAGGTCCTTGAATGGTATTTATTCAGTATTGTTTCTTTAGAACACTAATGAGATATCATAGGAACCTAACTCTTTTTAATATCAATTAGCCTATGAAATTTGTTTGTTATGTGTTGCTTCACTTAAAGCTGCAGAACCTATTGTCGAGGTTAAGTGAGGACTTACTACTACACGCGGTATGCTTTCTGACCTGCTCATCATTCTCACATCAGCTACAGAGGCAGCTGATGAGGAAACACACCACCTGCCCCCATTCAGGGTCTAGTCAGAGGAGAATCAATATCACTGTGCATGGAAGACATGGTGCAGGGGCACTGTCCCCTGTGATGTAATCTTTAATATGTCCATGTACAACCATCAGGACATCTGAGGGACCCTATTTATGACATCACCAAGCTCTGATACCTTAAGCATAATATAGCCTTATTTGGAAATTGAAGCTACATCACGCAAATCCTTTGTTTTGTTCATATTGTTTCACATCTTAGTAAATGAGAATTCTGTGATATTGATTGGAAGAAAATAAGTAGATGTTATGCCCAACTACCTTTGTGAACCTAGTTCATTCTATAATCTGAGGAAATGTAGAGGAATGAATTAAGTTTCAACAATATTACACATTTTTGCAAATATTTCTAAGTCTCAGTTTTCCCCATACGGGGTGGGGTGGGTCAAAAGTAGGTGTTCACTTGTGAGTACATAAAACACAATTTATTCCTGTATTATTATTTATTATTACATTATTTCCCATTCAAACAACAGTAAACCTACTTTCTCTCCATCCTCCATTAGGAATTCATTTGAGTTTCCTTGCTTAGAAAGCAGCAGTTCTTAACAGTTCATCTGTAATATTTTCTATGTTTAAAATATATTACTTTTCTCCATCGAGTTTTTATTTTCATCAAATTTTCTGGCTACAGTTATAATTTTCCTCCTATCCGTCTGCATGTTTCAGTCATGCATCTTCTTCTGTTTGCCAAATAAATAATGCTGCTTCTTTTAGTCATCATTTCCCATGTAAATGTATCCAGGATTTATTCACCCTTACTAGATATTTTTGAGGAACTGTTGACTGAATTCCTGTTTGTGAAAATGAAGCCCCAGAGTTTGGTCAACAGCTTTTTCCTGGGGGCTGTTTTTTCTGAAGTAGAAAGGAAAACGAAAGTGCATGCAAAGGAAATCAGCGGAGGCAGCAAGAACTGACCCCAGAGAAGCAGAGGTACTGGGGACACTGCAAGTGAGGCTCACCGGGCTGCAGGCACCTGTCTGGCTCTGTGTCTGTCGGGTGTCACTGCTGTTATTCGGACTTCCAGTATGATCACCATCCTCATCACCACATGTATTTTAAATGCCACCAAGAGGAGAGCAGACACACAGATTTAATTTAGGTGGTCAGACATCCTGTGAGTTATCAGTGGGTATGTTTCTAAATGACCGTTCCATAGCAGCTCTCCTAGTAGACAATGCATTTATTCCTATGTGACAACTGTCACGGTTGTCACATAGGAATAAACCCAGACCCAGATTTATGGATTTAGTAAATATGTGCATGGAAAGTTATATTTAATAGCATAAAATACACTTGAGGTTAGTTTATTAATAATAAACTAGAGAACATATACAACCTGACCTTTTTTGTACCTTTTATTGTTTGTTTGTTTGTTCCAGAGAAATGTATTTCGATATTGGCTTTAATATTCGATGATTTTTTGAAAAAAAAATAGATATCTTCTACGTCCTTTGAGACACTGGAGTTTATGTACATAATTGTTACTTCTATAGCTCCTTACAATACTTTTCTAATCAATCAACTACTTTTCTTAGAACACTTTAGTAACATACTTTAAGTAAAATTTTGGGGTCAGTCATACAAAATGTGATGATATATGGTAAAAGAAAACTCAGAATCATAGGATTAGAATGGCAAGAGTAAACTCTGTCCTGGTTACCCAGAAGCACTGTGACTTCATATACTTGACTGTGACTTGTGCAAGGATTTTTTTACAAGAAATTTACAAAGATAAATATGAATATGAACATGACAACCATTTTTTCCTTAAGTATATTTGTTTGATGAAAATAATTTATTTCCAAATGGCACAGAAAATTTATGTTGTTCTCTCTTCTTCAAATAGGTTATGTGGGTATGCAATTTATGTCGAAAGCAGCAAGAAATTTTAACCAAGTCTGGGGCCTGGTTCTTTGGAAGTGGCCCTCAGCAGCCCAGTCAGGATGGAACCCTAAGTGATACAGCTACAGGTGCTGGTTCTGAGTTACCCAGGGAAAAGAAAGCACGGCTCCAAGAGCGGTCAAGGTCGCAGACTCCCCTGAGCACAGTAGCTGCCTCCTCCCAGGACACAGCCCCCCCAGGTGCACAGCCTGACAGGAGCAAAGGGGCTGAGCCTTCACAGCAAGCCCTGGGGCCGGAGCAGAAGCAGGCTGCATCCAGGTCTAGAAGTGAACCTCCAAGAGAGAGGTAATAGTTCGTTAACTATGTAAACAAAAGGCAAGATCTTGTATTGATGGCAAACTGATTTTCAAGAATTTAACATTTACTAAGAAAAATGTGTGGAAGTGGTACTTCCCAGGCCCCACATAGAAGGTAACATGAGGTGCTTTGTTTATCTGCAGAATGTGTTGTGCCTTTGGAGACCTTTGTTGAAAAGCTTTTCTGTCCTACTATGCACTGATGTCACCCAGTTGGGCTACTAACTTCCAATTTTGAATTTGGCAAAGCTTTTAGATCACATATGCACTTATACAATTAGTCCTTTAATTGAAAGTGCTCTGAGAGAATATGGTGGGAGCACTGGAAGGAATGTGGGTATATCAGCAAAGCCTTCTTTGAGGACATTTCTTTTATGCTGGACGCTTAAAAATGACTAGGAATTAACCAGGAGAAGAGTGCGGAGTGTGGTTCAGGTACATGCAGGAACATGCAGCCCAGAAGGACAAGGCTGGTGGGAAAACCTAAAGAGTACCCATTGGCTAGAGTGTGAGTAGCAGAGTGAGGATTGGAGGAGAGGGAGTGGTGAGGGTATTAGGGCCCAGGTCACACTGCTGGGCCTTTGGCCAGCTTAAATTTCACAGTTTTATCCTAGGAGTAATGGAAGGTCACTGAGAAATTGAGGCATGGGTGAACATGATCAAATCTTTTATTTCAATGGATTCATTCATTCATTCATTGAAACAATGTATTTATGACCAGACAGGGATAATGTTAACAAGGAGCACCTAGGCCTTTTCTTCGCATACTTGGTAGTTTGGAGGTCTTGACTGTTGTTAAGAGCAAGCTTGTCTGCTTGTGGCTCCAAGAAAGGCTTTTGCTCCCCTTTCCAAACAAAGCACATACATAAAATAAAAAACTTCAGAGTTAAAAAGGTCTGGCTTCCAGTCCCAGCTCCATCACATTAGAAACAACCCACCTTACAGGGATTAAATAAAAACTTGTGTTCAGATGTGGGCACATGGGAAGGAATTCAACTAATGTAGCTATTATTTAAGCCAATAGCTGTTATTTATTTACTCTAAGCAAACACTGTACCAGAAAACAGAGGGTATAAAGATGATTAGGGCATGATCACTTTCTCACAGATCCTAGGGAAGGCACCACACAATATCCTGGGAGAGACAGAGAGCTTGCAGAGGACCGATTTGATCAAAGCTAGAAAATACTGCAGTACTTTGGGAGCTACAGGAAAGAAGAGGTACATGCTAAATTAAGCTTTGTAGGATATCCAGGAGTTGTAAGGTAAGTAGAGAGAGTAGGAGGAGACATTACAGGAAATAAAAAAGAGTGTGCATAAACTGTGTAGAGAAGACAGAAGGGACACCAGAGATAACTCAGAACTAGCAGTTAATACCTTTTGGTGTCAAACTGATGTCTGTTAAGAAAAGGAAACTATATCGAAGGTGCAGTTTGGGATTGGTCAGAATATGATATCTTTAAATAAGGTGATTTGGTGCTGTAAACTTTCTAAAGAGAAAACATCAATCCTGTTTATGGCACATGGTGAAAAACGAAAAAAATTCAAAAATGAGGACTGAGAAGAGACTTTCTGTTTCAATGAAATTTGAAAAATCGACAGGGGCAAGTGCCCTTTGATTATACAAATCACATGCTGATTATATACACACTTAAGAAAACAGCAAGGACGTTGCAAGAGTAGAAGAAAAAGGTGACAATCTCGGGGAGACAAGCAAGACTGAAGGAATGGCAGATTGTTTTAAAGTATACAAGTGTTCTTGATCATACTTCATACACTCATCAGGAGCCCATGGAAATGGGTCAATTAAGGGTGGGAGTGAGAAAAACAATCAGTAAAGCGAAGCATCAGAGAGACTGGGCAGCTCCTCGAATTTGCGTAACACTCTTATCCTTTCATAAAGCATTTCCACAGATGGTGTCTCCTCTAATCCTCACATGAACTCTGCAAGGCAGGCATGACTTATCAGCACTTAAAGAAAAGTAAAGTAACTCAATATAAACTTCTAGATCAACTATGCCTTAATGAGCTACTAAATGTTTGCAGTACAGTATCATGTTTTTTATGTATTTGATAGTGATTTATTTGTATTCTGCTAGACCCCTACAATGCCACCCTTGCAATTCCATCTTCCATGAAAATCCCTTTCACTTCAAGGGACCAATGTAATCCAAAGTACAATGTGCCATGTTTCCATTTTACTTTCTTATGCCATCGGATACATTTTATTCTTTCTTTTCACCATCACCAGCCCCTCCTCACACTGACCCATAACATATCTTAGCCAATTACTACTTTGGTAAGCCACAATAGAAATTGCCCTACTTTTTCTCATCTTGTACTTGATGTTTATTGCTTCTGCTTTTAGACTTTTTGTCAAATGATATTCCCTCTAGAAAGCCCTTTCTATGGGCCTCAAGATTCAAAAAAAAGTCTTGGGTTGTCTCCATTTTAATTGCTTAGTAGAACATATATTGTCAGAATGCTTAACTAAGGCACCTCCATTTTGTAACTTCTCAAGTAGTTGCTGGAACTTTCCAAAATCAAGTTCACACCAGTGTAAAAAGAAGCACTGAAACAGGCAGTTGCATGATATATCTACAAGATTCAAAGATTGCCAAACCCCTTTCCTTTATTTTTATCTTGCCAGTGACTTCAAGAGAAAAGTAGGAAAAAACCTGTTTTCTTCTTTTGCACTGTGTTCTGAGATGAGGGAAAGAAAGAGGGAAGGAAAATGAGTAATAATTAAAATTTTTCAATATTTCTATTATTATTGCCATGGAAGGTAAAATAAAAGTTCATTCATTAAGCCATTTTTTCCCTAACTTCCTAAAAAGGTGTTTGGGTGAATATAATCTCATTAAAATTACTTATGTTCTACTACTGAAGAAGTGCTATTAGATTTGACTTCTGAAATACACACACTTGTATTTACATTTCTTTAAAAGTTTTAGTTATAATAAAAGATTATCAATACCTATTGTCCACGTATGTGTCAACTATATACTTATTTTTGAATTAATGTTATCTTTATTTTAATATTATTACCTACATTAGTTTAATCTAAAAGATATTTAGTCTGTGATTCACAAGCAGTGGTTAAGATCAAACTTTTTAATTTACTGAATTAGTTTATTGATGCTTTTTATTGATCTAGTTAATTTGTAGAGAATTTTAAATATTCAAACACTTTCTAAAGTCCCTGAACATATTGTAATGCGAAGGAACCTTATTTAAAAAGCTAATCGGATACACAGTTTTACATTGGTTCCTTATCATGTCACTTTTAATGTAGACATCGAATTATAAGTCATTACTGGAAAGGATTTAAATCTGGAATACGCAGGTCTGGTTTTCACTTCGCGCTTTAGGCACTGGTCTTCTTTTCACATTTCTCCGTGTATCACAGGAAGAAGACTCCAGGGCCGTCTGAGCAGAATGGCAAAGGCTCCCAGAAGGGCGAGCGGAAACGCGGGCCGAAGTCCTCGGCGCAACCTGGGGAGGGGGCCGTGGAGGAGCGGGAGCGGAAAGACCGGCGAGACAGAAGGCTGGAGAAAGGGCGGTCGCAGGACTACCCCGACGGGCCGGAAAAACGCGACGACGGCAAAGTGGCGGACGAGGAGAAGCAAAGGAGCGCGGAGGAGTACCAGACTAGGTACCGAAGCGACCCGAACCTGGCGCGGTACCCGGTGAAAGCGCCGCCGGAGGAGCAGCAGATGCGCATGCACGCGCGGGTGTCCCGCGCGAGGCATGAGCGGCGCCACAGCGACGTGGCGCTCCCACGCACCGAGGCGGGCGCCTCGCCGCCCGAAAGCAAGGCCGGGAAGCGAGCGCCGGCCGCGGGCAGGGCTTTGCCGCCGGACTCGCAGCGGGCCTACCCGACCGAGAGGACTGCGGAAGCCAGGGCGCCGGGCGCCAAGCAGCTAACGAACCACAGCCCGCCGGCTCCCAGGCATGGGCCGGTCCCCGCCAAAGCCCTGGAGCCCAAAGCCCAGGAGCCCCTCAGGAAGCAGAGCCGCCTGGACCCCAGCTCGGCAGTCCTCCTGCGGAAGGCCAAGCGCGAGAAGGCGGAGATCATGCTGCGGAACGACTCGCTGAGCTCGGACCAGTCCGAGTCGGTGCGGCCGTCTCCGCCCAAGCCCCACAGGCCCAAGAGGGGCGGCAAGAAGAGGCAGATGTCAGTGAGCAGCTCGGAGGAGGAGGGCGTGTCCACGCCGGAGTACACCAGCTGCGAGGACGTGGAGCTGGAGAGCGAGAGCGTCAGCGAGAAAGGTGAGAAGGCGTTGCTTTAGAAGCGTCGGCTCGTGTCCCGGGATCAGAGGTGCGTCTGCACCAAGCCGGAGATGCGCCTGCGCAGGGATCGGAGGTGTGAGTGTGTGTGCTGGGCTTGGAGGTTTATCTGCTGAGCTGGGGTGTGCGTATGCCAGGTGTAGAAGTGTGGTTTGTCATGCACAATGTGATGACTGTCATGCACAATGTTATCACTACTCTATAGTATATTAGAAAGTTGGCTAAGTTCACATCACACAAAGTAAAAACTTTTTAAAATCATTATATGAGATATGTGTTAACTGAACTCATGGTAATAATAATTTCTCATTGTAGGTATGTCAACTCATTATGCACTATACCTTAAACTTAGACAGAGCTGGATATCAATTATATCTCAATGATTTATAGAAAAAATATCTCAGTAAAAGTGGAGGGGGAAAAGTATGAATTGGAAAGCTCACAGCTTTTATCCCAGTGAATAGAAATTTTTAGTAGTAGTTGTTCATTTTTTGTGGGATTTTAAAACAAGCACAAGCTCCAAATTCGGGTTACAACAGTTTGTTAATGACTTTGGTTTGTCTCATTCTTGGATATTAAGTGCATCTTACGTTTTTCAGTTATTATTTTGGGGAGGATATGTTTGTCTGGGAAAAATAGCTTTCTTGTAGAAAACCAAAACTGTCCTTGATAAACGGAAGTGTACCTTTTTAAAAAACTTCAGTGGTGTGATAGAACAGTCACAGAAGAAGTACTTTTCAAGTTTCAAATGTCTTTCTCATAATTTGTAAAGAAATTTTTTCACAAAGATTATACCATGAAGATGTTATATAGTGTACTTTGGATTTACAGTAACTTTGGAATTTGAAGTTTATTTTACCTACATCTTTAGAAAGGTTTGAATCTGTTCCTTTAGACAGGTTTCCTTTTTTCCTGTCTAAACCTACACTCTACAATACCATAGCTCCATGTAGCTATTTAAATTTAAATTAACTGAAACTAAATAAACAAAAATAATTCAGTTCCCCCCTTGCACTTGGACACATTGCAAGTGCTCAAGAGCAATCATCAGAAAAAGTTTCTTTAGATAGCACTTGCTTAGAAATACTTCAATTTACTATTAAAATTATGAATGTTGTTTTGAATATCCACTCAGATTTAAACTGAGTGAATATCCTAAATTTGACGGTGAGCATCATCATTGCCATTGTAGTGTTGGGGTCCCTGTGTGTTTCTTAATTATATTTTGGGGTGACTATTTATATAGTTTTGGGCTTTGTAATTGCTAATTTATATGCTAAATATTACAAGTTTTATGAGACTATTACTTTGCTTTCTCATCTTTTCTATCTCTAAACTACACCCAAGTGCTCTTTCTGTTTCTGTGTGTGTATGTATATATAAACACACACGTAGATATAATTAAATGTACGTGTGTGCTTGTATATATAAAACACACACATAAAAATGGAGGTTAAGTAACTTATGCAGGAAATTATCACGGTTGGTTCATAAGATAGCTTTAAGTAGTCAATGGTGGGTTTTAGTGTTAAAAGCATTAATAGATCTTACAGATGATGGAATTTCTAATTCAATTTGGAATAGGAAATATCTATGCTATATTGATTTTAAAAAGTCATCCTTCTGATGACTTATGTTTGAATAGTAAGTCATTATGCCTGTGTTCATGCACATTGTCTATTGACTTTTAAGAATCAGATGCTGAATAGACACTTGTCTTTCTTGCCTTAATATGCTTGTAAGCACATATTTTTCCCCTCTGAAGTAGTAAACTGTTAAGTAATGGATGTGCTCAATTGATGTGCAGGTAACTCTTGACAGATACATACATATATATAATTTTTCCACTCATTAAAGAAAAGATTGTGTTAGCTCTTACTGAATATGTATTATGAACCACAATGAACAAGGAATCACACAGAATTGAATCTCAAAATTATTTACAGTAACAACGTTATGGAAGAAAACATGACTAATGGCATGGATGTTAATTGGCGGGATGGAGCTGGTGTCATGTGAGGAACTGATTGCCTTGGCACACTGTCTCTGCTTCTTGGGAACTATCATTCTGGGAACTTTGGGGGCCACTGGGGATATAAATGCTTCTGAAATTGGAGTTAAATCTCTTCATCTGGGAACATGGGCATCACATGTGTCATTATCTGACACAGATGCCCCATTTTCTCTAAACTTATAGTTAATCTTACCAATGCCTTGAATTTACTCCAAAGTAGCTGTCCTGTTCTAATAGTTTAACCAATTGCAACTCAACATTTACAAAATGAAACATTAGCTCTAAAGAACATACCTTTTAATAATCTGTAATATCTGCTAATGACTTTATTACCAAACCTCCCATTGCCTGATATGATAATCTCTAGCACCCTTCACCCTCCCTGGGTTACTTGACCTCCATAAGTCTCATAAAATTATGAGTGGTTTGGATGAGATGATGCATTATAAAATAGGATATTCTAGCGTTCTTCCTCTATTGATTTTGCCTGTGGCTACTGCACCATAGATCTAATACCACAATGAGTGTGAGGTAATCATTCATACATATAATATTCAGAGAATTTATTAAAAACTCTTTTTCATATCTTATAGACTCCAGTGGGGTGAGAAGAGGAAGAATGATTTGGGAAGAGATTTCTTAGAAGAAAGTAGATACTATGCTTTGAGTTTCAGGGTGGGAAGAGTATTCCCATGGAGTAAAATTTAAAGAGTACTGAGGCACAGAAATTAAAGTTACATTTTTACTGTATACTGTGCATTTTCTTGTACATTTTATCAGTTACCCATATAAATTAAACGTTTAACACGATGTCTGGCTCTTTAGTCTCCTCAAGTTGCTATAACAAAAGGCCACAGAGTGGGGAGCTTATGAACAACAGAAATTTATTTTTCACCATCCTGCAGGCTGGGAAGTCCAAGATCAGGCCGCCGGGATGGCCAAGTTGCTGGTTCATGGGTGGCACCATCATGAGATTTCATCACGTGGTGGAAGGGGCTAGGGAGTGAGTGTGTGGGGTCTCTTTTCTATGAAGTCTTCACCTTCAAAATCCAAGCACCTATCAGTATCCCCCCTCTCATGCCATCATCTTTAGGCATTAGGATTTCAACCTATGAATTTTGGGATGAGGGGGCACAAACATTCAGACTACGGCCCTGTCACTAGATAACTATTTAACATATATACCATTTTTGTAATTCATATTATTATTTTGCTGAAGATGTTTTGTATATCTATTAGCAAATGTGTATTTACCACTTTTGGTAGATAAACTGAGATTTAATAAGAAAGAATATGCTCTGTGCTGATATTGTGTTGAGAGAAATAAGCAATAAAGAATAATTACACAATGAAATACAATTTAGTATGTGCCTCAAAGGATAATGTTTTCAAGATACTTTGATAGAATTTTGCTACGTGTCCAACCATCCAATAAAAGATAAGCTGATCAAATAATTGGCATCCGAAAGACAACCTGACATTTATATATATTGAATATAATCTTTTGCATGTAGTGTAATTCAGCTCACATCCAACACCCACACAAAGATTAAGGGCAAGCTCTATCTAGTGGACTATCTAAAAATTAAGGTCAGTTACCACATTTTCAATAGGAATGCTGTTCATATTGCTTTTGCCCACTGGAAAAAATGGGCATGTCTTTTCTCTTAGTTTATAAATATTAACTAATATAAATTTTTCCATACAGAATAAAAACAGTGAACTCACTCACTCTTGCTTATAAGATAGTAGCTGAATTTTGAGTGAAATGTGTAATATAGTTGATTGGGAGAAAGTCTAGCGATGATTTGTGCCCTGAGGAGTTGAGGAATGAGGCCTAAGAATGAAAAAAAGAGACAAGATGGAGCCAGCGCGGGGGAGAGAAAGAAACGCTGCCGGTTCTGAGAAGAAACATGGAGGCAGTGCTGCTTGATCAGGGGAGTAAGTCACTTAAAATACAAGGAACGTAAGGTATAGACCCTCAGACAAAACAAGCTGGAAGAAGAGTCTGGTGTTGGATAACAGCATATCCTTCATTTTCAATCCTCTCCTTTTTGCTGATTTTGTGTTAACTGAGAAAATACAACACAAATACCGTGCCTTTGAACTCTGAAAGAACTCCATGACTGGTTTCTTAGCTCAGCCTGTATAACAAGGGCTGACTGGTTTGTTCATAATTGTTGCTGTTAAGCAGTGCTCAACAGTCTTTTTATGAGCACGTGATCTGGATTACTGAAAGAGATGATACCTGCAAGAGTGTCAAGAACTGAGTGGTTGAGAGGGAGATGGAAGACCCTTAATAGGAATTGTCAGTTCTCTTAGAGACAGACAGTTTCACAGGACCAGGGTATAGGTTGTGGGCAAAGTAAACCATTGACTATTTGGTTTTGATGTCTGACAACTTAAACATCAAGGAGTCAGGAACAAGAGTCAAGGATCCTTGCAACAATCACATTGGGAGGGAAACTTGTTCATGTAATACTTTTTATTATTTTTTTAGTTATTAAAAGTATTAGGAGTATCTTTTGGGGGTTCCATAAATACAGTGCTTACTATTCACAGAGAACTTCTGATTCTGCCTGGCAATTGTTGATTTGCTTCTGTTTATTGAGAACAAAGAATGCATATTATAGCCTTTTGATAGTCCTATTTCCTGTAACCTGTTTCCTACAGATTTGAGATTTAAAAATCTGGCTGCCATTTACTTATTTGTGTATTAATCTATACATTATATTATATAAATATTGCTTAATGTACATGATATTAAACAACATATCTATAAGAATCTCCTAGATTCCAGGCACACTGTGCTAGATTCTAGAGGTATGGTGATTAAATAAATAAATACACACACATACATAGATAGAATACACATATATACATAGACAGATATGTAGATGTAGGTAGATAAAGAGATAGCCATCATTCCTGCCCTGTGACAATTTTTGTTGGTTATCCAGAGCACTCA